GTAATGGCTTGCGATGCCAGCGGCGGTGGCTGCTTAACCACCATAGTGTGCGTCGAAACAACGAGGTCCACCGCGCAGCCTTTGGCGTAGTCGTAGTAGGTGATGAGTTCGCCGTGCAGTTCACGGCAGGCGAGGAGTTCGATGCTTTTGGTCATGATTTCATCGCGGTGGAGCGTGTTGTCGACGTCCATGAGTACGCGGAGGAAGTCTCGGTCTGCGAGTGTGAGATCCAATGCGTCGTTGCCTGTTGCGTTATCAGAACAGGATTATAGTAGGCAGAGACGAGCGTACGAATGTGAAGGCTTCGTAGAGCACCACAGCCCTTTTTGTGGCCGCCAACGGTCCAATCCGTCTTTTGACATGCGGTTGAACAGTAGATCGTAGAATGACACCCTGAGCAGCGCTTGAACTCTGCCTCTTGAGCATGGTGAGCGCACTTGAGGAATATCGATTATTTCCAGTTTGAAACCAGGGACAGATAGAGCCAAACACACCTGGATATTGTCGCACATTTTGAACGCAGGAAACTCTCCAGCATCGCATCGATCGAGCAGAGCGAGCCTTGTATCCAACACATCCCGGAAGGCGACCCAATATTTGAAGAGCCCGGATTTACGGAAGGCCGGGTTCGCCGCAAACTTCTCAGCCGCCTCAAGGATACCTGGAGCCCTGAAGGCGCGAAGGACCGCAACTCGCACAAGATGGGCAGGGAAGATATTCTCTAGGAACAGCTGAGCCCCGTCTTTGAGATGAGCCTCCGAGTCGTGCAGACGCAGAACGGCCTCGAGGAGACCATGTTCGACGGCTTCCGGGATGCGCAGATGCCCTGGCGGCATGAAGAATATTAGGGCGATCAGAGACACCACACGGTCGATCTCGGAATCCATGCGGCTCATGACGCTCGTCGACTTGTCACGTCGAGCATAGATGAGAAGGTAATCTGAAACGAGCGGAAAGAAGCCTCGCTCGCAGGCAGCAGCCCAGAAGGCAGGTTGCTCGACGGGTCCCTTCTTCGGCGGCGGTTCGTAAGTGTGCATGAAGCAGATTAACATGCTAAAGGTGGATGCACCGGTTTTCTGGTCAGGTTCGTCAGACGACTTGAGCAGTTCGATACTCTTCGCAAAGTGTAACATGGCAAGATGAGCGACGTCGTCGTCGGTACCGCCTGCGCCAGCGCGAATGTCGGCTTTTTGATTATCGGAGAAGAGATCGTAGGCGGCGAGAAAGACAAACAGTGTCATTTGCGCATCGCGAGCGCGTTTAAGAGGTGTCATGGTGTGGAGGTGTCGCCAAGCGCGAATCATCCTGGACAGCACGCCGGGCTGAGCAAATTGAGAACCGGAGACAAAGTGTATCCTCTTGGCACAGAGGATGAGAGCAGTCACAATAGCGAGGAAGGTTTCGTCCAGAAGACGCTCCGAGTCGAGCGATTCGGATGGGAGGAACGGGAGCTTCGAGCGGTGATTGTCGATGAACTGCAGCCAGAGCCACATGCGTGTCCAGATGTCCGCCGCCGCGGTATCATCGATCAAGCCAAGAATCGGGTCGTTTTGGTTTCCGAGAGCATGGAGGACCGTCCAAGCACGTTCGATGTCGCCCATGTTTCCGTCGTGTGGCTCAGCTAAAAGATGCGCAGGGTCGAGTATGGAATGGTGGGCGGCGTCGAGGAGCAGAAGCTTCGATTCCAGAGGAGCTTTGGAGTCGAGATGCCCGAGTAATGTATCGAGGGTCGGCGTTTGTGCTATTTGGTCCGCATGCGGCTTGAATGACCGCCTTTGAACTGTTAGAGAGAGGCTCCGTCAGAGTGCAACGCAAAACCCACAGTGAAATCTGTGGCAGTGGGCTTGTCTCCGGGGAAGGAAGTGGGCTCCATGAAGGTCCGAAGCAAGAGGGAAAAAATTGACCTCGGTTGCCACGCGGTACTTACTGGTTCTAGCTTCTTTGGACGTAAGGAGGCCGGGCACGAGGTTGAATGTTTCGCGTGTACAGAATAACTTTGGGCATTTGAGAAAGATTCGAGCTTGCTCTGCGGGGCTCAAGATGGACATGAGAGTCAAGAAGAGATCATGATCACTGCCTCGAAGAATATTTTCTGACAGAACTCGTCAGCATCGAGTGGGAAATTCGCGTGAAAGGTATTTCGTGATGAACTGAATTGCAGCAAATGATGGCGCCGACATCTTGCTTCCTACCCTCATGTCCGTCACCGAAACGCGGCTTCCACTTGACTTGGAGCGCGAAATCTTCGAGTACACGGCGGAGCTTTACCCTGCCGCAATTCCTAGCTTGCTCTGCGTTGCCCATCGCGTCCTTGTCTGGTGTGTTTGCCTCCGAGTCGTCCGTACCCAGCGATTCAATCCTTACCATCGCAGGATCGAGCCAATCGCATATCGTACCATCGAAATCGACTCCGTTAAACGCCTCTCCGCCTTCTTGGCCGCCACCAAATCGAAACCATCCGAATTTTTCGCCAAGCATGTTCAGCGGATTTTGATCTCCCCCCTTTGGAAAAATCCGTTCGACGATTCCTATGATGGGCTGGCACTCTGCACTAGCGTCACCCGCATCTCCGGTTTAGGTGCTCTCGCTTGCAGCTCACTTCTCCCGGTCATCACACGAATGCGCTTGGAGCGAATCGCACTCTTCCTCACGCACATCTTCCCAAGCGACGGCAACAGCGAGGCTGAGGTGGATGAGGTGGAACTAAGCCTCCTATGCTTCCAGACGTTAACCCACTTCGACGTCTTCGACTCCTTGCGGATGGAGGGGGTTGCGCTGGCATACGCCGCGAAGCTCTGTGCCCTGCCTGTCCTCACGCATCTATCGCTCAACGAGATAGTCCCCTGGTCGGCGGTAGAGATGCTCTTGCAAGGCTGCCGCTGCCTTCAAGTTCTTGTACTATTGTGGTCACACGCTGACGAGAGCGGGCGGGAGCGCGCCGCACAGGTGCCGTTCAACGACGTGCGCTTCGTCGTGACTAGATACCGCACCTATGAAGAATCCATCTTGGACCCTCCGAATTATTGGACCCAGGCGCAGGCGTTTATTACGGATAAGCGTCTGGGCAAAATCGACGGTAACTGCTAAATTTCGCTTTGGATCTTGGCTGATAAGTTGTCCTAGCCCGCTGTTTCTGGATGGATCGAGGCTGAGCCGGAGTTGGAAACTTGGAGATAAGGGATGTGAGTTATCGAAACAGCAATACTCATTGCACTACTTCCCAGAATTACACGCAATTGCCCGGTCTCCACGTGTTTCCTGTTATCTTATCTTATCTCACCAACGATAACGATCTCTATCTTTGTACAAGCGCGGGGCAGTGGCACCAAAGCACGTCACTTTGCCATTGTTCGCCTGGCATCGCCTCGTTTCTTTCAAAGCGTCCATCGAAGGTCAAAGCACCCACCTCCGCGCTCGAGTATAAAAGGGAGAGAACCGAGCACGTTGATTTTCTCTCCCTCTCTCTCTCTCTGTTCCCTCGACCGCTCACTTGAATATTCACCGACTACGAGTTACTCCCAAAACAAAACAAAAAAGACGGACGATGCAACACACCGCCCCACAGCCTCCTCGTAATCCTCCCCTCGCGTCGAAATTCACCCGCGAACAAGCTTGTTATCTCACGCCGAATCAGCGCTTCGAGTACTGGCTCGATGCGCTCGCTACCATCGTCACAGCGCCGTATTCCGTGAAAGAATACCAAGGCGCCGCTCGCGAGAACAAAAGATTACAAGCGCAGTTGCTCGAAAACGGTGCTTCTGTCCCAGTTCCTCTTTCATTCTCTTGTTGCTCAAGGAGATTTCACAGTCCAACTCTTCATCATCGATCTCACCAACGCGATTAACCGTCGTCAGGGCTTGCCGCTTGTCCCCCGACTCGACCCGGCGGAATCGATATTCAAGATCTCTCGACACTCTTCAGGATTCTCTGCCCTTATCTTTGAGCGTCTGCGCGCGCTGTTGGGGCTCCGGATGGTCGTTCAGGGAGACGCGTGTGAAGCCGGTAGGTGCAGTTCAATTCCTTCTGGTCATCATTTTAATTCGCTTGCTTTCTCAGCCCACAACCGCTGTCTCGACCTGATGAGCCAACTCGGCTGGCCAGAGCCCGAGTTCCCGTTCCACCGCGGACCGGCGAAGGGCGAGGAAGACCCGTCCCTCGCAACATCAGGCCAGTGCATGTCCCTTGTATGCACAGTCCATCCGCGCAAGGACAGCCCGGCCTTTCTCAAGAATCTCAAGTTCAAGCCCAAGGTTGATCATGAGGCGACGATGTTAGAGATCAGCGCACTAAGCGCAGCGCTGACTCAATCCGAGTCTGCACTTGTCCAGCGCAAGGCCAGTGCCAACCACCGACACGAACACATGTCCACGTCTGCGTCTGCGGCTGGTGGCGTGTATCATCGTCTAACTGCGCCTCCTGCCCGCCGTGCTCATGCCGCAACCCCAGGAAACAACGCACCGGTGCCGGAAGGCCATGAACCCATTCAACTTCAGGCCGGCCAACACCACATCTTAAAACTCCCCACTGGCTACCTCGTCAACTTCAACGGAAGACGAGTCCACTTGCCCCTGCCGGCGGCCCCGTTGAACTCAGGATCGGGCGGTATCAGTGCCGTAGATGAGAATCGCGAGCGCGTGCCAGTGCAGCTTCCGTGCGCCCAGGAGTTGGTTATTGTAGCGTCCCTGGGCGAGTATCAGCGGGCCGAGGAGCGACAGTGGATGAACGGCCTTGCGACGGGAGAGCCTGATCGCCAGGCATAAGGACAGATGAAAAGGGTCGGATGAAGTTTTCAGTCCAATAGACTCTGTGACTCGGAATAAATGTTCATGATGAATTCTGGTTGCACTGGCAGTTGAGTTAGTTTTTCTTCAGGTTGTAAGCATCCATAGACTGCGCCACGGTTCGGAGATCTGAGCGGTGTAAAAGACTTGGCATGTTGCTGCGCCATTCCTTGAATCAAAAAGAGGCAAAGACAGCCAAGCCTCCAACGACGCAAAAGAAGCTTTTATCCGGTTTCGAACCAGAGACCTTGTGCGACGCCGTTCTGTGAAGCACACGTGATAACCACTACACCATAAAAGCAGCGCAGGTGAAACAGTAGCGTATGGCTACAAACGGAAGGTCATTCCATCACGAAGTTTCCCGGGCTGATAAATGCTACATCCTACTCTAGCTTCTCCAACTGCTCTAATCGAAGCAGGACCACATGCATACTCGTCTCCTGGATCTCACCTGCGAGGAATATCTCGTCCAGTATCGCATAGACCTGATGGCAAGCCGATAAGCGATCGACATCGACACAAGCGCTCCAGCACCTTCTTACCTTGTAGAAATTGAAAACCAAATCCAACTCGTTCACATTTTCGAAATAATGGTCTGCAAAACGGGGGTTAACAAGTAGTGATGAGTGCAGAAATTGCAAAACGCACCGAGCACTTCGACGAAAAAGTGGATAGCCTCCAGATACGCGAGCTCGTTATCGTTGGCGTCGACGCCCACGCAGAAGAACAGGCCGGCGTAGCGTCGATAGATGATTTTGTAGTTCCCGAACTGTGTTTTTGCGATTTCAGACGGCAGTTGTCACAGCACCGCACAGGCTTAACGCACCTCCAAGAAGTTCGACTGAGCTTTGTGGTCTCTGGAACCCACTGCACGATGGACGTCCCCTCGCAGTCGCATCTAGCAGCTGTCCGTCAACGCCACGTTGCCACGGCCGGAGAGAGACGAACCTTCTCCTCGTCAGTGTACGGCGCGTACCATTTCGAGAGACGGGTCTTCCCTTGTCGGTTCTGAACGAGGAGGAAGCTCATCATGCTGGGTAAGGTGGTGGGGAAACGCAAAAGCGTCCGCGTGGGACGCATCGCGGATCCCATGTGACAACTGCCGGCAGGTTTTTCTTTTGCAAGGAATTGAACCTTTTTTGGATGTTCCCGCTCGGCTCCGCATTTGCTGGTTTTTCAGCCTTTTGCTTCTGCTTGGCAGTGTTATTCATCTTCCCGCTTCCCGGGGCCCATCATCGACGGTTCCGTGATTGACTCGGTGAGCGAGGCAAAAAGCACCACAGCGGAACGGCGTTCCTGGACCTCCGACTTCATGCCGCTTTACCAGTACGAAGCTGCTCTCGCGCTCGATGCGCTCGCAATGGTCAGCGCTGTGGTGTTCTATGCCAACGGAGCCAAGGAAGGAAAAATCCGGCTCTCCGAGCAAGACTCGGCCGCGGCGGACCCATTCGACGTGACGACTGTCGAGGACCTTACAGACGGGTATCCGATTGAAGAGGAAAGGTTTTGGGACAAGGTACACTTCGTTTTGGCTCGTAGCGTTTTCTTGACCGCGTTTTCAGATGAAACGGCGTAAAATCTTCATCTCTATCGTCGCATTGCTGCTTTTGGGCGTGCAGTCGGCTGGAGTAGTCCTCAGTGGATTCGACACCATCGCCCTCGTTCGTGTGCCATTCGCAGTGTACCTTTTCGCTGTCGCGGTGTTCTCCGTTCGCCGTCAATCCATGGCCGACCACCCGGAATCCATCTGGCACCTGTCGGCCCTCACCGTCGTCGCCGTCCTGCTGTTGGCATTCACCGCCCTCCTTCCGGAGACCGACTATCCCGTATCCGTATCTTCCACGTCGGTCTCACCCGAGCTAGCGTTATGGTACACAGCGCTGGTCCTGCAGCTGCTCATTCTCCTCGTGGCAGCGGACACCCCGTGCGGACCCCCATTACACTACCCACCCACCGCCATCTATTCCGAAAAGATCGCCCAGGCGATAACCAACACCGAGAAGAACAATGTCGCAGGCATCTACGGTGCCTCGCCTTTCAGCATTCTCTTCTTCTCCTACTCCACGAAAGTCGTCATGCTCGGCCACACCGCCGAGTCGCTCGAAATCGGCGACCTTCCCATCCTCACCGTGGACTTCCGTGCGTCCTTCCTGTACGATTCGATGAAACGCGTCCTCCGCACTGTCTCTCTGCGCATCCCCGTCTTCGATTGGACACCACGCATCGGCTCGGGCGTCACACTCGCATACCAGGTCCTCCTTGTCAACCGCACCGGCTTCCTGACGATTCTTTTCACGTCCATCGTCGCAGGCGGCATGTTCTACGTGCCGCCCGTTTTCCTCAACGCAGTGCTCAGGTATCTGGAGAACGACCCACAGAGGGAGAACGTCCGTTGGGGACTCGTTTGGGTCGTCGGTCTGCTTGCTTCCGACTTGGTTTTATTCCTGCTCATGGGTACGTTCCGCCGCTCCGTTTTATTCCTATGGCTAAAGCAGTGCAGGCCAGGTGTGGTCGCTCGCGACAGCGACGCTGCAAGCAAAGATAAAAAATCAGCTCAATACCGTGTTGTTCGCCAAGACGCTCTTGCGGAAGGATATCGCTTCCGCTGCACCGACCTCTGCCGAGGGAGACAAGGAGAAGAAGGACGACGACGACGAGGGCCAGTTCTCGTCTAAAGCGCAAATCATGACGCTCATGTACGCGGCTCATTCCTTCTCGCATGTCTATATCGGACGCTGAATCGCCCCCAAGGACAACGGACATTGACCGCGTGGCTGATTTCACTCGTAACCGCCTTCTCTTTGCTGCTGTTGCTGCTCGCTGATTCTTTTCGCAGACCACGTATTCGCCGTCATCGGTTCGTCCTTTATCATGCCCCCACTTGCTCTCACTAACACCATTCCCCCAGACGTTCCTATCGAGATTATTGTTGGCACCACGTTCCTCTACCAGCTGCTCGGTACGTCCTCTCTTCCCGCTCAGCGCGCGTTATCATGACTACATGCCAGGTGTGTCTTGCTTCTTCGGCCTCGGCGTCGCGGTCGTATGCCTTCCGCTCAACCACTTGACGGGCAAATTGGTGTCCCGAGCGCAGGACAATCTGATGAAATCCAGGGATGAGCGGGTCGCGCTGATGAACGAGGTGAGTATGCGTCGTCTTCATATCGCGTACAAATTGAATTCGCTTTTCAGGTTCTCGGCGGAATACGGATGCTCAAGGTATGTACCTCTGAAAAAAAAACGAGTTTGTGATCCTGAATGCGAGCGCAGTTTATGGCCTGGGAACGCAGCTTCGAGTCTCGCATCCTCAAAGTCCGCTCCAAAGAGCTCAAGTACCAGAGACTGATCTATATCATCGAGGTCCGTCTTGTTTCTCGCCTTTCTCGCCCTCCTCTGCTCACATGAATCAATCGCAGGCTCTGATTGCCGGATTTTGGAACGGTATTCCGGTGCTCATTACCCTTGTCTCGTTCTACCACTTTGCGGTGTGGCGCGGGGAGACGTTGAAGCCGTCCATTGCGTTCACCTCGGTGAGTGTTGACCTGGCCTTCAAGTTCACTCGTTTAATAATTTCTAGATAATGGTGTTCGAGGAGCTCCGATTCGCACTCGGTGCTCTCACCGACACGTTCATCAGCATCGTACAAAGCTTCGTCTCGCTCCGTCGAATCGAAAAGGTTCTTTTCCGTCATCTTCCTACGTTAGCAACTGACATCGCCCCGCAGTATCTCAACACGCGCGAAGTCAAGTTGGTCCCGGCGCTCGCCGACCAGTCAAAGGAGATCTCGTTCAACTCGTGTACCGTCACCTGGCCGCAAGACCGTTCCGCGTCCTCGGTCTCGGCAAGTGCCGTGTCGACACCGCGCAACAAGTTCGTCCTCATGGACCTCTCGTTGGAGTTCCCCCGAGGAGAGTTGTCGCTGGTGTGCGGGAAGCTTGGGTCGGGCAAGACGCTGTTGTTGCTCGGTGCGTCGCGTTCTTCCCGTAGTAGTTTGTAGTTATAATAGGCTGACGTATGTACGTACAGCTCTTCTGGGCGAGGCGGACGTTCTCACCGGGCAGGTGGCCTGCCCCCGCTCGCCCGCGAACATCCTCGCTTCGTTCGCTGGCTTTAACCCGGCGACGAAAGATTGGCTTGTGGACGGGGTTTGTGCATACGTACCGCAAGTGAGTACCCTCGTTTTCTTGCCTGAGCTTGCGTTACTAACCATCCAAGACCGCCTGGCTGCAAAACGCTTCTATCAAAGGTGCCGCGTTTCTCATCTGATTAAACGCGTTGCTGAATCGCCGCAGATAACATCCTCTTCACCTTGCCGTACGACGAGGCTCGGTACCAGATGACCTTGGAGGCGTGCGCTCTCGTGAGCGACCTCGCCATTCTCGAAGACGGCGACGAGTCAGAGATTGGAGAGCGTGGAGTGTGTATTGTTTTGGGTTCTTTCGAGCCTTGCTCATCGTCTTCAGATTAACCTTAGTGGCGGACAGCGCGCTCGAGGTGAGCTTCGCGCCTGAGTAGTAATACATGAAGCTAATTACACTGGTGCAGTTTCGCTGGCGCGGGCAGTATACTCCCGGGCCACAGTCCTCCTGCTGGACGACGTCCTCTCTGCAGTGGACGCACACACCGCTCACCATCTCTATCATAACTGTCTCCGCGGCCCACTTATGCGCGGACGCACTGCAATCCTTGTCTCGCATCACGTTCAGCTCTGCGCCCCCGACGCTGCGTACGTCGTCGCCCTCGAGAATGGGCGCGTGCAATTCCAAGGCAACTTCCCTACCTTCCAGAGCTCCGGTGTAATGGGCGGGCTTGTGCAATCCACCGGCGTAGACACGGAAGCGGAAACGCAGGACGTCAAAGAAGAGGCGGCGATTGAGGCTATCGGCGAAGAGACCTCCGTCGTCGTAGCGCCGAGCACAGTCAAACCCGAGACGAAGAAGTCGCCGCGCAAGTTCATCGAGGAGGAACAACGCGAGGTTGGGCATGTCTCTTGGAGCGTATGGCAGACCTATATTGCCGCCGGAGGTGGGACTGCATATTGGACGCTTTTCGTCTTTGTGTTCGTATCCGCAGCGCTCGCCAGAATCGGAGAGAACTGGTGGCTGAGCTATTGGTCGAGGGGTAACGGAGAGAAAAGCGCGTTGTTTTATCTCTCGGTCTATGCCGTGGTGAGTCCGCTGCTCGTTCGTCGATGTCTCGGACTCAGATTACATCCTTAGCTCGCCTGCACGGGCGTAATCTTGATCGTTGTTCGCATGCTAGTACTTTGTGAGCGCCTTGGGCTCCTTCGAGACGAAGCTA